TTAGCTTTAATAATATATCTGGATGCCTCCAGTGTTTGGTGCACATATATTTAAAATTGTTTTTTGATCTTGCTGAATTAACCCTTTTATCATTATATAATGACCTTTTTTGTCTCTTCTTGTAACTTTTGTCTTAAAAACTATTTTTGTCTAAGTATAGCTACTTCTGCTCTTTTGTTGGTTTCCATTGGCATGGAATATCTTTTTTCATCCCTTTATTTTTAGTTAAGGTGTATTGTCATGGGTTAAGTGTGTTTCTTGTAGGCAACAGATCAGTGGCTCTTGTTTTTTCATTCATTTATCCAGTCTGTATCTTTTGAGAGTTTAGTATATTTACATTCAATATTATTGATAAGTAAGGACTCAGTGCTGTTATTTTGTTATTTGTTCTTGGCCCCTCCTTCTTCTCTCCCCTCCCCTCCCCTCCCCTCCCCTGTCCTCCCCTACCCTCCCCTCTATTCCTCTCCCCTCTCCTTCCCATCTTCCTTTAGTGAAGGTGTTTTTCTCTGGTGCTATGATTCAGTTTCTTGCTTTTTATTTTTTGTTATCATTGTGTGTTATTTGGTTGGAAGTTACCATGAGGCTTGCAAATACTATCTTAAAACTTAACACAACACTGCATAAGTAAATAAATAAGCAAAAAGAAAAGGAATAAAATCTATGCCTTAACTTCATCTCCCCACTTTTTAACTTTTTGTTGTTTCTATTTATATCTTACTGTGCTGTCTGTGTCTTTAAAAGTTGCTGTATTTGTTTTTTATTGGTTCATTGTTTAGTCTTTATACTTAGGATAAGAGTAGTTTACACACCATAGTTACAGCGTTATATTCTGTGTTTTTCTGTCTTCTTACTATTACCAGTGAATTTTGTACCTTCAAGTAATTACTTATTGCTCATAAATGTCTGGTTTTTTTTCTGATTAAAGTACTCCCGTTAGCATTTCTTATAGGTCAGGTTTGAGAACTTCCCCAGCTTTTGTTTGGGGAAGTCTTTATTTCTCCTTTATGCCTGAAGGGTGTTTTTGCTGAATATGCTATTCAAGGGTAAAAGCATTCTTTCATTCAGCACTTTAATTATGTATACCACTCTCTCCTGGCCTGTGAGGTTTCCATTGAAAAGTCTGCTGCCAGACATACTGGAACTTCATTGTATGTTATTTGTTCCTTTTCTTTCCTGCTTTTAGGGCCCTTTCTTTATCCTTGACTTTTGGGAGTTTCATTATGAAATGCCTTGAGGTAGTGTTTGGGTTACATCCGCTTGGTGTCCTATAACCTTCTTTGAGTATTGGTAATTTTCTCTAGGTTTAAGATGTTCTCTGTCATTATCCCTTTCAATACATTGATAAATTTGACCTCAGAGAAAATATGAATGAATCTGATTTTAGGAAAAACAAAAAACTCTCTTGAATGACAAAAAAAGAGAAAATGAAAATAAATAAAGAAATAAAACACATACTCCTGAGGAGCAATGTAAATGAACTACAGTGAACTACTGTTCGTCACCTATGAGATTGGCAAAAGCCCAAAAGGTTGTTACTACACCCTTTTCACTTAATTGTGGGGCCCTTAAATGCATTGCTGAGCAAAATGCAAAGTGCCACCTTTATGGTGGTGAATTGGGCACTATCTAGACAAATTATACACACATTTAGGTTTTGACACAGAAATCCTACTTTTAAAATCTACCCCAAGACTCACTGTTAAAAATAGAAAGTGATTCATGTCTAAGGCTGTTTATTGTGGCATTATTTGTAACAACAGGAGGTGGAAGCAACGTTCATGCCTGTTGGGAGGGGATTGGTAGATGAAGCTATGGTACATGAAGATGGGGTATATCCACATGATTGAATACTATGAATCTGTGAAAGAAGGAAGAAATTTGTTATATTATTGATATGAGGTGTTATCTGGAGTATATTTTTTCCATTTTTAGAAATTAAGGGTGACTTTTCCTGTGAATCAAAGTAATAAGTAAGGCTTTGATATGATAGATTAATTAACTTATAAATAAGAACATACTGGGTTCCAAGCCCTAGGACAGTACAGCACTTAAAATAATAATGGCTCCCAGTGATAACCATGCCTGCAGCTTTCGTCCTGTCTGTCCTAGGCACTGTGCTTAGTTAAGTGAGATCATTTTATCTTCCTTATATGGACACAGAAAATGTCCAAATGCTAGAGGTCTATCTACTTATTTTTGTTGGATATGATACTCTCTTCAATTAAGGATGTTGGCGACATAACATTTCTTAAGAGCGCTCCGCCTTTGTTTCTAAATATTTCTTCCAAGCCATCGATCCTAGCCTGCACGTTTGATGCCATTGCTTGCTTAATCTCACCAGAAGAAAGGATCAAAGGAAGGCATGAATCATATCATCCTTCTGCTGCTTTCAATGTCCTCTATTTTAAGAGATTTCGCAACTCTTCCTTTTCTTAGTTACACTGTCTGGGCTGTGAGAGGCACTCCTTTTGTGCATATCCGGTGGTAAAATGTAACACTGATCCTTCCTTGTGAATTCCTTCCTTCCTTAGCCTAGCGCTTAGCTTAGCACAGCACTTAATACTTTACAAGAAAAATTGCAGTGAATATGGGTTTTATTGGTGCTCCCTCTGCTGGCTGTTTCTATGTCTTTGCGGAAACAATGTAACTGCTTCAGCTCCAACTAATAGCGAATCTCTGATGAGCACAGAGTCAGGAGCATTAGCCTGATGGAGGCTGAGTGCGGGCTTTAATCATTGGGGCATTAAAGCCCAGCTTTCAATTCCAGCCCAGCATGCAGAACCTGTCTTCACTTTCCTCATCTGTTACACAGTGACCACCTTGTAGTTTCCTGTTAGGGATTAGAAATTATGTAGCTCATCTGACACAGTAGAAAATGTTCTGAAATGGTGAGTAAACCTGACCGGAGTCTTCCAGAAAATATTTGCAGATATTATTATGTACTATTTTTTCTTGAGAAAATGTAAGTGGTTTATTATGTCTATAACTTGAAGAGTCTATGAAAATAGATTTGCGTGTTTTTTTTTTTTTTCAAATACCCTAATGTAGATGGTCAACTATCTTCCCTGGAAAAGTTAGTACATTTCTTAGAAGCTGAAACATACTCTATTCCAAGATACATTTTCATTGTCTTAATCAAAGGGTGCTTGAATCATAGTAAATATTCTTATCTTTCAACTAACTTTAAATAGTTTTCCTGGAATTCTACAGTTTCCAGAGAACACTCCCTTCTGCATCTGTGAAGGAAAGTGTGCCTCAGGCTGTGAAACCCACTGGGTTTAACTGGACACCTGTGGGGATCTGGCTTAGTGGGGACATGGTCAGTATTGATTCAGCATGAAGCAGATTACACTGCAGTTAACGTCATTCCACACATCTGGACCCCAAGACAAAAGGAGGTCACATAGCTGATTGTGGATGCCGATTAGTGATGAGGTGTGGGTTAGCTCTCCGGTCTGTTTCCTAAGTCACACAAACAGCAGTGATAAAGTGTGCTTACGGATGAGACAAGGTACCTGAGTCAATCTGTAATTCAGCACACAAAAATGCAAAGGAAATTATTATTTCAGCCTGATGAAGTGCAAATGTTATGATGTAGGTTAAAGTGACCCAGGTTCTAATCCTGGTTCTGTTATTCACCAGGTTAATAGACCAGTCACAGCAGGCCTTTCTCTGAAGAATGAACTTTTGAAAGTAACTGGCCTTTTATGGGCCCTGCTGGTTTCTTGGTTTTTTTTTTTTAATCCAAATTCTATAAATTTGATCTATCTAAAGGTATTACCACATGCTTCATCAGATATCTCTGCATTGCTTGATACCATAAAGTTAAATTTCTTTTGGTTAAAGAGTTTTAAAAAATCACTGCCTCATAAAACAAGCAAACAACAAAATAAACCTGTCTGGAGACATTTTGTCCATTTGCCCTGTTGAGGCAGCGACAGAAATAGTGTGTCACTGTAGTGTCTCACAGATGGATGGAGCCAAGACTACATTTGAAGTGATTTCCATAGCAAAAGCCCTAACGAAATTTCCAGAATTCATGCTGAGTGGCATTGGTTTTGATGGAAGCCTCTGCAGAATCAGGGGCAGGCATTTACAGGGAAGCCACTAGTAAAATAATATATTCAGAAAAAGATATTAAAAGCGGCAGTGTAAAGTAAACTCCATAATTTCAGCTGCCCTGAGTCCCATGCTTAGGACAGCCTGCATTTCCACTGGCTGATCCAGGTCTCCAGGGGGTTACAGAGAATTTGCAGACGTTGTCTTCGCATGTATGGCATGGTGTTGCCACAGGGTGCCAGTGTTGTCACATGCACAGCAAGTCCCCGTGCGAGCTTTTCTCTGCCTGGGAAAGCTCAGATCTGTTGTTTTTGCAGTCTTCACCAGCTGAGAACAGGAAAATATTTCTTGGGAGCTGAGCCATATGCTTGTGATGCAGAATTAAGTTTTGTTATACATCAGTTGTATAGAGATATTTTTAAAATTTAGCTTGTACCTTTAGAAAATGCTTTGTATTCAAAATAAAATAAATTGCCTATGGCAGATTGTAAGAGGAGAATCACGTTGAGTGCCTGTAAATCTAACAGGGTTTCTTGTTGCATGTTCTCCTGAGCTTCTCTCAGTATATACATCTGCACTTTACATAAAGCCCGTGATATTGCACAGAGGTTTGCATATCCTTTAGAATTTGTCCTGGTTCCCGCGTAGTTCTTTTAAAGGCTGTATGGTCTTCCATGTAAAGGGAAGACATGGGTTTTGTTTTCGTTTGCTTGAATTTGGATTCTGACTTAATCACACACAGCTCTGAGACCTCTGAAAGCCTCATCTTTCCATGTGTACAGTGGGCGCATAATCACCAGCACCTAGCTTTCTTACGAGGATGAAATGAGATGGAATGAGTGCCAAGCACAGGAAGGAGCTCACAGCTACACTTAATGAAGGTTGGCTCGGCCCTGTTGCTCATCGCTTCTTTTCTCCGGTATAAATAATGTGAAACTCACCTTTATCCAAAAAGCCTTTTTTCATGTGGGAGGTTTTCTTTATGAAAGAGACCTGCAAAGGTATTAGTGAATCAAAGGATGTGACAACTACATGGAAGCACTGCATTGTTTCCCTCAATGACTGTCACCAACAACAAATAACAGTGCGTTATGGCCCCTCGGCTCTTCATTTCTGATTCAGAGCCTTGTGTATACAAAACTTCTATCGACTACTGGAAAGTAAATAGCTCTTAATATCTAGAAAATTCATTCTAAGGTTCTTTACATACCTGTTTGATCATTAAAAATAGGTCAGGCATGTTGGCTCATGCCTGTAATCCCAGCACTTTGGGAGATGGAGGTGGGTGGATCACCTGAGGTCAGAAGTTCGAGACCAGCCTGACCAACATGGCAAAACCCTGTCTCTACTAAAAATACAAAACTAGGTGAGTGTGGTGGCCATACCTGTAGTCCCAGCTGCTCAGGAGGCTGAGGCAGGAGAATTGCTTGAACCCAGGAGACAGAGGTTGCAGTGGGCCGAGATTGCACCATTGCACTCCAACCTGGGCGACAAGGGTGAAAGTCTCAAAACAACAAAAAAGTAGTTTAAAAAGTATTCTTATCATATGATCTCTAATGCAAACTCAGGAACTATCAGAGGAGGGTTTTGTTTTTAAAGCTTTGATGAATTTTTTTCCCAGAGCATTCGATTTGTGGAATAGTATACAAACAGATCTTGAAGAGCTTATAAACAGGGCCTAATGCCAGGACCAGTTCTCAGAGGGAAAAGAAGAAATGTGAATTTTTTACCACTTGGCTGAAAATGTGATGTTTGTACTGAGGTAGAAAATGTCCCTTTCAAATACCGATTTTCCTTACGTTCCCTAACACATGACTCTTATTTCCACTGTTGGTGTTTCCTTTCTGGGCTTCCCCTGCTTTTTGTCAGACAATATCAAACTGTAGAATCTCACTTGCCTGCACGTGGATTTACGCTGCTTCAGATACCAGAGAAGGTGAGAAGCAGAGCTCTCTGCCCTTCGGCATCCTTTCCTGTCTGGGAGATGACATCTCCGCCATCACAATTCTTCAGGCTAGAATCTTGGGGTCCTCTTTGCCCCCTTTTCTCTCCCCCCTCCACCTACAATCCTCATATCATCTTCCACCTTCAAGATGCATCCAGAATCCCACCACTTCGCACAGCCTGCCCTTGTCACCTGGCCCAGGCCTCCAGGCGCCTCCACTTCCCAGCACATGTGGCCTCCAAAGCCCCCTCCGCATCTCCCTGCTTTTCGCCCTGCAGTTCCCTGCAGTTTCCTGGGCGGCCGCCAGGTGAGCAGAGCCAGCAGGTGGGCTTGGCTCGGGGCTGCAGAGAGCCCGCAGCGCCGACCCGCTACCCTCCTCTACGCACCTGACCGGCTCTTCGCGTCTCTTGATCCTGGTTCTTAAAAAAGGAAGTAGACTATAGACTGGGCGTCCCTCAAACTGGCAGCCCCGGGGTCTGCCCTTGGGGCAGCCGTTTCTCAGCTCGCCCGCCCGCGCCAACGCAGTCCCCGCGCTTCGCCTTCGATGTCCCCGCCCCGCGCTTTTCCTGACCCCGCCCCGCGCCTTCCTTGTTCCCCGCCCCATGCTGTGCCTTCCCTGTCCCCCGCCCCATGCTGTGCCTTCCCTGTCCCCCGCCCCAACGCCGCCCCAGGCTTGAGACGGCAGGGGGCACGCAGGCCAGTGCCCATTCCTGCAGCACGCTCATCGCGGTGTCATCAGATAAAAACGGCACGTTGCATTCGGAGTGAGTGTCTCCTCCGGACTTTTGCCGGCTTTCTGTTCCAGCTTCTCCCTGGAAAAGGGCAGGGGCAGGCAGTTTCCCAGCCTCCCGCCCCGCTCTGTCCCCAGTGGCACCTGCCCCAGAGTCTGCAGGTCCGCGCAGCCTGGGCCCCCAGATATGCGTCCTCCACCCTGGAGCCTGGGATCCTCCTAAACCCCTGCTGCTTCCTTATTCTCTCCTCTGTTAGCGCCACCTTTGCTTTCTCTTCCCGGGTTGTCACATTTTATTGATTTCTGCATCGTAAATGTGTCCCACGCGGACCTACAGTCCTTCCCTTTTCTTCTGCTGAGCGATGGTCACAGGCCGTGGACGCGTGTGAGTGAGGGGGGCTGCTGGGCTATACCCGCCGCCCTCCTATCCTGTAGGCTGGGATCCATTCTTTCAACATAAACTGTACCTTGAGAGTTCCTTCTCTTTTGGATTTTTGCATAGTACCAGTTCATAGTAGATTGCAGAGGTAATAAACAGTCCCATACCAATCATCCACCATTAACAAATGCTCATGTGTGTTTAGCTACATTTGCTGCGTATCTTTTTTTTTTTTTTTTTTTAGGAGCCAAAGCACTTCTAATATATTTAACTTATAAACTCTACAGTTATCTATTAATAGCTGAGAAACCTGTGACCTATAACATCCGAAGTCAAAATTTAGAAGCCTGGTTTTTACTCTTACCCATAGTTCATTGTTCTACAATTTACTAAAATTACACATTTGCATAAAGTTTTAGTAAACAAAAAATAAGCTAGCAGAAGAAAAAAATGGACAAATAAACAGAAGAGTAATTATCATTTAATAGCGATCATACTCTTTTTAATCACATCTTATCGTTATGGCAATTTGAATCAAATTGACAAAACAATCTCTTTATGGAATTGATATAACCCATAAAACCACCATTTTCACTATTACGCATATTTAAAAAAACAAAAAATGTAATAAATCTTTGAAAATCTCTTAAAATAACTTTTTGTATTATGTCCAAAAAATATAAAGAACTCTCAAACCTCAATAATAAAAATTAAAGAATCCAGTTTAAAAATGGGCCAAAAACACAAACAGGCCTTTTGCCATAGAGAATATACAAATGGCAAATTCGCAGTTGAAAAATGTCAATGTCATTAGCCATTAGGATTATAAAAAAACATAAGATATCACTACATACTTATCAAAATGATAATAATTAAAGAAAAAACAGTGACAGTCTCACCTGCCAATAAGCAGAAAACCTGGATCACTCATGTATTGTTGGTGGCAATGTAAAATGACAGCACTTCTCTAGAAAGCAGTGTGAGTTGGTTTTTTGTTTTTTGTGTTTAACAAATTTAAACAGGCAACTGTTGCTGCGCATCTTCTTGTTAATGACTAAGAATCGCAGCAGACGCAGATGCCACCACCTCTCTAACAACATAACCGGCTCTCTCCTTCCTTCTCCAGAGCAGCAACCCTTTTGAAAGTTTTGTATTTTAAGAAATACAGTGAAAGGGTGTCTGTCCATAAACAATGCAGAGCGTATTTTACATGTTTTAACAATGTGTGTGATGATTTGCTGTTCTTTTATTTCAGTTGACAAAGAAAAATTTTATATCAAGGCATTGTGCAACAGCTAACTAAAGCTAATCACCATACCTACGACCTCACATACTTACACTTTTGTCGTGATAACATTGAAAGTCTACTGTTTTAGTAATTTTCAAGTATCTGATATATTATTAATCATAGCATCTTCTCCAGTAGACTTCCTGAAGTGATTATTTTCCGAAGTCTAAATTTTGACTTAGAAAATAAGAACAATGAATGTTGAGGGTAAAAAATGAGGAAAGAAAGAAGGAGAACAGAAAAGGGAGAAGAGATTAGAGTGCCTGCCTCCTCTAAAGTCCCTCATCACATCGACACTCACCTCCCCTAATCCCTTGCTCCGGGCACACTTTGACTGAGTCTGTCCCATAGGAGATATGGCAGACCAGGGGACACTGGGGACACACAGAGGAGCCAGGCCAAGCCCCTGCCCTCAGAAGACACCAAGGAACCTGTTGCCAGTGCTACTAAAAACTCCAAATGTGCTGGCATTACCTGAGGCCTTGTTTTTTTGAGACAGAGTCTTGCTGTGTCACCTAGGCGGCAGAGTCAGAGGGTTCGGCTCTCCTTGTGAGAAGGGAGAGGGAAGGTCTGTGCAGAGAAGGCAAAGCCTCAGCTAAGCTGCCAGTGCTGCATAGCTCCCGCTCTGAGAGGGGACTCCAGCATAGGGGCGCCTGTGCTACTAATTTAAATACAGAGTAGTTTAAGGGGGAGAGGGAGGAGAAGCGCTAAGAAATGAAAGTCCCCATTCTTCAGCAGTTCCATTTAGTGATTGAAAGTGCACGCTTAACTACTTCTCTCTCTCTCTCTCTCTCTGTGTGTGTGTGTGTGTGTGTAGGGTGGTTTTTATTGACTGCCCATTGGAAATGTGTCTAAAAATAGACTGAATAAATGACTAACTATGTCTCAATATTTGACCCTCCATCTGGGGTGAGAGGGATCAGAGAATTCTTTCATTTGCTTGGCTAAGAATGTTTTCAGTCCCAGATAAGATATTCTGGATCTATCATTATATGGTGAGCGTAACTCCTTCTAACGACAGCCTCCAATAAAGCTGACTAATTCTGGGTGATGCTTCCTGCTGGGTGATTCCTGGGGAACCTGATGTCTCCTTTGGAGGAGACACAGATGAGCCTTCAGGAAGGGACATTTCAGAGGTATCGGCCCTGAGCTTCAAACTGAGATAATGTGATAAACTGGGACAAGAATAACTACTGTCTTGACATCATGGGGAGATGAAAAAGGGAGAAAAAAGAAACAAGAAAAATAAAGGGTAAGAAAGGAATTATTTTGCCTTTTTGGGTTGAAAATTGTATGTGTGTGTGTGCAGAGTATTTTGATTGAACTACAAAAATAGACATTTGGTGATATTTTCTAAGTGGATTGTCTCTGATACTTGTTTTCTTTTATCATAATGAATGTCCTATATTGTCTGGATGATTTTCTAGCTTTATAGAAAAAACCACAAGCAAATTATAAATGCAGGTGTTGTGAAGCTTATTTCTTTGAAAATACAGTGGCTCACAGAGAAACCGATTCCCAGTTGCATTTGAATTTCCTTATCTCTCTGTGTTTTTCTTGGTTGCATGCAGATTGGCAGAAGTGAAGGTTGGCATTTTCATTACTGACGATGCAGGCTCCCTTCCATCGGAATCATCAGGATGGGACCTGAAGTACATGCTCAGGTCATTTCTAAATAATTCACGCCGTAGGCCTTAAGTAGTCCTGAGCAGATAACATTCCTGTGTTTAGGTTCCATCAAGTTTAAGTGTACTGACTTGGATACCACTCTGTTTAACACACACTACCGTAGGTGTAGAGCTTCTGAGTCTTCCTTCATTTATGGTCAGGGGAGAAACACAGAAATCTGGAGAAATGAAACCAAGGGTACATAGGAATCGTGCAGTCTTTCTGTTACCAGGTAATCCTCTTTATTGTCCTAAATATTGCGTATTTTATGACCCTGGCAAAGAGTGGCTTCTGACCCTGTCTTTGCAGGCATCTATTAATCATTAGTTTGGCTGTGTCCAAAACCATCTCTGCCTCTTCTTCCAGAGGTTCTCTTCTGACCTCAACATCCATTGCAGCTGAATTTTGTTTAAACATTGGAGTTAATTGGTAGCAAACAGGTGAAGTGACTTTAAGCTCTAAGAAGAGCCATTTATTATTATTGTCGCTATGATTTCTGATTGTTCAACTGGTGCAGTGCCTGGAAACAAGAGTAGGAACTGAGATGTGTTCACTGAATGCATGCCTGCCTTGGTCAGAGTGTAGCTGATATGAATTGATCTCTGGCTCAGTTTAATACTTTATATCCCATGTTAGAGACAGCCGTCAGTAGTACAAGTGAAGGCTACACACAGAAAAAGAATTGGTGAATGCCAAAGCAGATGGCCTGGTTGCCTAGGACTCTCACTTTTGATGCAGAGATTTTGATTGATATTTTCCCCAGTGTAAATGGAAGAGGGAAATACTGAATTCTCTCCAGTGTTATGCAAAAATTGCCTATGCCCATTCCTCTCCTCTACCTGCTGACTCCACATCTATAGGTCAGGATTGGGATGTGTGCCAGTGACGCAGATCCTAATGACACCCATGGCCCAGCCATGGACTCTCAGAGAGGAGGGGAGCTGCCCACATCCCACTGAGAGTGATTAAACCCTAATGACACCCATGGCCCAGCCAGGGACTCTCAGAGAGGAGGGGAGCTGCCCACATCCCACTGGGAGTTATTAGTACAGAGGCTGATGAAGGAGAAGCCTCATTTTAATCCCTTTGCTGGGACATAATGGTATCTATTGTTTTATTGAAGTACAGTCAGGCCCCAAATCAGGATTTGTTGCCTCCATTGGAATCCCACCCACTCCCCTGGAACTGTGAGTGATGTCAGCTGTGTGCACCCTTCCTCTAAGCCTCTCAAAGCCCCTTTGTGCCGTGGCCCTCCATGCCCTGCCCATGTTCTCTGCCCCAGTTTGCACTTATAGCACATTGGTCTGTGCCTATTCTTATGGGGTCCAGCAGCCAGCCTTAGGCCTGTAGCTTAAAACCACCCTCATGGTTCCTCCTCTGGCTTCCTTCTATGTGGGGAGAATATGCATGGAACTCTGACTCCCTTGACTGTGGCCAGCATATTAGTAAAGATGGGCTAAGCTGCTCTTCCAAGGAAGTCCCCAGAATTCAGAAGCTTGGATTCAGAGGCTCTTGGTGATTCTCAGGGCACTTGGGAGGTTGCAGCCGCCAAGGATGGAGCACTCACTTTTCAGCAACACGGGCCTCCATGACGACTACGGCCATCTGCTTCTCCATCAGTTGGAGGGGGATGCCACTGAAGGACACATCCGTGAAGTCTCTACAGGCCAGTCTGGAAGTCACATGCACCTCCCATCCACTCCCATTTCATTGCTGAGAACTTAAGGACGTGGCTCCATATCACTGCAAAGAAGTCTGGGAAATAAAAGCGTTCAGCTGGCCACCGTGTGGCAGCGCTGGTGTTGAAATCACTGAACGCAAAGGTAGAGGTGCTGCCAAGCTGGCTGTCCTGACATTACCCACCAAGCAGGGCCAGAGACCCTGCGGCCTCCTTACCACAACAGCTTCCATGGTCTCTTGTCCCTGTTTCCTCGATGACAGGGAAGAGAAGCATGTAAAGAAGTCGTGTGAGTTCACTGGCTGTCAGCAATCATATTGCCCATCTACTTCATAAGAGAACCCTATCTATGAGATTACAGGCCACAGAGTATGCTGTTAACAGCAAACAGCAGTCATGATGAAATCAGCAATACAATTTAAATAACACATACTTGCAGGCAGCTTCTCGGTAGTGAAACATTAACATACAAGTGCATTGGGGATTATTACATTTATGGTTGCTTTTTAGCATAGAGTAGGGATGACTTCTTGTTTTTACTTTATTCTGGTAATTTAAAATTATTTGCTACCATCTTAATTATTAGCTAAACATCTTTAATTATCAGCAAGAATAATTAACTGGTAGCAATAAAGCAAAATTAACAGTATTATATTATTGAGAAACTAAGAGTCATAGCATTTCAAAGCCTAAGACCAACTTTTGTATGATGCCAGTGATACGCTAATAAAAAAGTATCTTTGCCTTACGCTGTAAGCTTGTCACCAGAGAGCACACATTTGATAAGATCTTTACAATCTCCCATGGCAGCTGGGACCCACAGAAGACAAAATTAGAATCCAGAGTAAATTCTAACTATGCATGAATTTAATCTGATGATATGCCATAGTGGGCTAGGGACAAGCAGCTCTTAGCCATATGTAAAAATGAATATCTTCATAATAAAGGATTATGGTTTGGTTCAGCTCATTGCTTGCCTGTCCAGAGGATTCTTGAGCTGGGGACCCTGGATGGCAGATCTGAGTTAGAGAATGTCTGGGCTGAACTGCCAGAGCATTCCCATTCAGGCATGAGAAAGAGAAATGCCCCCAAGACCATCGCCAGCCTCTATCCCGACAGCACCCTGAATCCACTGGGCAAATCATACAACAAGGGTGAGAAAAGATGCTGTTTTCAAGCCTTTTGTACTGTCAGTGAGTTTGTATATGAAACCACTTTTAATGTTGGAATTATTTTCTGCCTTTGCCAACTCTTCACAACAGAAAACATAGGTAGGAAGCAATGGAGAAAGCTTCCGGCAGTGGATTGAACTGAAGGAGAATAGCTGGGAAACCTTGAAAATATTAGTTAATAGCTTATTGCCATTTTTTTCTCTTGCGTTAGGTCTGGCAAATGTGTTAACAAAACAGGCTGGACAGAGATGGTTTCTGTAAAAATGCAGTCAGCCCTGTAAACATAAATGTGGGTATCAGCAGGCTGGGGGGTTCATAAGGCTTAGGGGGATGGGACAGAAGTGAACCATGGTACCAACCAGCCTGGGTGACAGAGTGAGACGCCATCTCAAAAACAAAAAACAACACAAAACAAAAAGACATTCTGGGAGAAATAATGAAATAATAAATTTAGAATTGGGTCAAATCCATGCAAGAGTAAGTCCACCAAACACTCTAGAAGCAATGAGAAAATCAGTTTATTTGCTTATTTTTGCAAGTGTACCAGCCAGTTTTAAAGCTGCTCAGAAAGTGGGAGATAAAATTGTAGACAAAGTGGGGATGGTGTTTTGCTTGCAGTGTGAAGACAGGTTCAGGAACACAGGGCACCTGGAGAAAGTGTGCCTGGGAGGAAGGTGGCAGCCTGGACACACCTGACTTTGACCGCAGGTGGGGAAGGCCCCACAGATGCCACCTCCTGCCCTTTTGGGAGAAGTGACACACCCCTGTGGGACTGAGAAAATGGGTGCCTTCAGCCCGCCAGCACTCATCAGGAGGTGACTCTGTTCATGAGGAGTGACAGACACTCGCACTTCACATTGCCTCCCAGAAACAGAGACAAAGTCAAGCCAAGCACAGAACAGTGGAGCTGAGGGGCCACCTGGGGAAGATAAATGCCTTTCAGGCTTGGAGTTTATAGCAAACCTTGACACAGAGAAGGTCTCAGGAACTTGGAAAACCACACCACCCAGAAATAGGATGTGTGGTTCCTGTATTAAAATTGGAATTGTGGGCTTGAGTGTTTAAAAGATGTGAGATTTTTTTTGTGGTGGGATGAAGTTACATATGTGTATGTCTGTTCACACACACGCAGAGTAGATGATAAGGGGCTTGGGCACACCTGGAGCAGTGGTTCTCCACGGGGGTGTCTGAACGGCAGCCCTGGCTTGCTCTGCTACAGCCGGCTGCCAGCACCCCACCTCCCTTCCTACACCTTCACCTGGCTCCGAAGGGGTACTCGGGGGTGGATCTCAGAGGAGGCCAGAAAGCCGGGAGCCATGGCAGGGAGGGATATGCATTTCCAGTTGGCAGGTTTCCCAGGAAAGGGAGCTAAGGAAATTCAAGAGTGAGTCACAGAAAGTCAAGAAATTTGGGAGCAAGTCAAGGGCGTTTATGGCGGACAGGCAGGGGAGGGACCGGGACAAGACCTTAGTGGCATGGAGAGCATCTATGGGCCAAGGCTTTAGAGGTCGCTGTGTCAGAGGGAAGATGGAGGGCAACAGGGCCCAGTGGGCCGCTGAAGGATACCTGCACTTGGGGAGAGGGAGACTTTGAATAGCACCTATAGTTTTGCTTAAAAGCTAGTAGAGTTGTGCCTTAGAAACCAACCAAAGGAGAATCTAACAGGAGCCGAGGTGGAGCGCCAGCTCTGAGAGAAAGACAAAGCGGGAAGATGAGGGGAAATGGGCCCCTTCCCTTCTGTAGCCCACCCCCCATCACTCCAGCTGCCTCCCACCTGCCCTGTGCACAAACGTGACCCATGTAAGGCTGAAGGACCTTTTTGTGAGTCAGGATAAGGAAGGGCTTAGTGGATGGCCATGGGCAGGTTCTCAGAGCGCTGGCTCCTAACTGTTCTCTAGGAAGCGGGAGGCCACATCCAGCCACCTGCAAGCTGGGGGCTGACACAGCCTGGAGGTCAAAGCTGCCTCAGGGCTGCTGAGTCCTGACTGGACTCTCAGAGGCAAGCCCTTCCCCTCTGCAGCACTTTCTGCTGTCCCTGTGCAGGGGCCCTGGCCTGGGGAATGCTTCCTGCTGGTTAATGAGCAGCCCCCCACTGGATCCCCATCACCAAGTCTGGAGCTGAGAGCATCACACCCCTCCTGGTGCCACCAGAGAATCAGCAGCTGTATCTGCTCTCCAACCTCCTAATGGATTGCGGCCCTCCTATTAGGTAACTTTTGTAGCTCTTGGATTTTCCTCGTGACTGCTCTGACTTGCTCACCTTGAGTTGGAAAGAAGCGAAGGAATACCCCGTATCCCTTGTGTCTCCCTCTCTGCACCACCTGCCTTTGGATGAGAAAATGCACAGCTTTCACCAGGCCTTCTTTCTAATTCTCCCTGGTTCCCAGAAATCTGAGCTCTTGCCCTCCCTGCATTCTGGCACCAGCAGCTCCACAGCAGTCGCCTTCCTCTATCCCCTCTTTTTATTTCCAACAAGAGATAATATCTCAATGGGAGAACAGAGGGGGCATGGCAGAAGAGCTACAGAGTCTGAGTCTTGCTGGAAAACAGGAAGGGCCGGGGCTAAATGACAAGATTACCAGGAGAACATCAGGGAAACTGCTGAGTGCTTTGAAGGTGAACGTCATGGGTGACGTTGAGATGCATATGCCCCGCAGCCCCTCCCTGCAGTCATGGGAACAGCCACTTGACTGGCTGTTGTGCTTTGCAGCAATTCTAAAAGGAGGTGGCGGGGAGTCCCCAGGAGGGGCTGATTCGTTATTTGCTAATTAATAATAATGTACCCAAATTTGTGAGTGATTTACTTGAACAAACAAAAGCCATTCAGTTTCACCTGGAAAAACATGATTATTCCCTCTCTGATATACTTTTTGGAGAGGACAGAAGGATGGAATTGCAGTTCTTGCACAGATGCTGCTCACAGAGGTTGGCACCTTGCACGTGAAATCCATGCATATGAAGTTACAGGTCTTGGGGCCAGTAGAAATATTGATGGCTGTTGCTTAAGGCTCTGTTCCTTAAGAGAGAAAAAAATGAGCCACCTCCAACCTGGGCAATGTGCTGTGATGGTCAGGAGCAGAGATCAGAGCGGTGGGGCCCAGCCTCGACTCCGAAACACAGATGCCTAATGGGAGCAAGCACCCAGAAAGATGCTCCACCTCATTCGCGGTGGGGGAAGTGCCGCTCAAAACCATAGTAAGACACTGCTTCACCCACACGAATGACAGCTCTTCAAACAAACTGAAAACAAGTGTTGGCCAGGATGCAGAGAAACTGGAACCCTTGTTCATTGCTGGTGAGAATGTAAAATGGTATAGCCACTGTGGAAAGCATTTTGGCTGTTCCTCAGCAAGTTAAACATAGGAATAACATATGATCCACAATTCTACTCCTAGGAATATACCCAAAAGAATTAAAAACAGGCTTGGCACGGTGGCTCACACTGTAATCCTAGCATTTTGTGAGGCCGAGGCGGGTGGATCACCTGAGGTCAGGAGTTCAAGACCATCCTGGCCAACATGGTGAAATCCTGTCTCTACTAAAAATACAAAAATTAGCTGGGCGTGGTGGCAGGCACCTGTGATCCCAGCTACTTGGGAGACTGAGGCAGAGGGTGCAGTGAGCCAAGATAGGACCACTGCACTCCAGCCTTGGCAACAAAAGTAAGACTCTTTCTCAAAAAAAAAAAAAAAAAATTAAAAACAAGTAAAACACATACACAAATGCTTATAGCAACTCTGTTCACAATAGCCAAAACTAGAAACCACACCAATACCCATGATTAGATGAGTGGATAAGAGCGTGCTACATACATCCAAAGGAGAAGCATTCAGCCTGAACAAGGAATGAAATACTGATACACGCTGCGGTGTGAGCAAACCTTGAAAACAATACGCGAAGTGAAAGAAACCAAACACAAAAGATCATCTATTTATATCGATTTTGTTTACATAAAATATATGGAACAGGTAAGTCCATTGAGTCAAAAAGCAAATTGGGGCTCGTCAGGGGCTGGGGTGAGGAAGGAGGATGGGGAGTGTCTTGAGTGTCTGCTTAATGGGTGCAAGCTCTCCTTTTGGGATGGTGAAGACATTCTGAAACTAGACAGTGTCTGGATGATAGTGTAAATGTACTTAACACCAGCAATTGTGTGCTTTAGGATGGCTAACATGGTTAATTTTACATTATTACACACATTTTACCGTCATAATTTAAAAAGGAAAACAAGCAATGCCGGGTCCTGCTTCAGGGTTTCGGATATGCGCAGATTGGGGTGCAGCCTGGGTGCGCACATCTGAACGCTCCTGTGCAGCTGAGTTTGAGAATCTCTGCCCCAGAGCCAGCCTGTCTGGCTCTACCACTTCCTAATGTGTGACCTTGGGCAAACACTAACTCACTGTGCCTGAGTTTCCTTCGCTGTGAAATGGGGACCATGTAATTACCTCCCTCACAGAGCTAGTACTAGGGTCAAGTGGGTTAATATGTGTAAAATACATGCCTGCACACGAATCTATCACCATTTTCCAAGCCTGGAGCTTAGATTTCCTCCCTAACCGGCTTAGTTGCTCTCTTTGCACCAGGCAGTTGTCAGCCCAGATGCCACCCAGGTGGAGAGACCACACTTCTGCTAGCCCGGGACAGTCCCAGCAATGCTCATGTCACTGCATTCTTTCCCACCAGACTTCCTTTAGGTCACTTGAAACAACAGTTCGGTCTTGCATAATAAAGTATGTGGCTACCGTCTTAACCCGCTTCTACAGCATGCTGCGTATAGTAGTGATGAACTGGGAAGTGCCTGAGCAGATTAGGGAGGGCAGCGTTATAAACAGTGCGTGAGAGAGTTAGTCTCCCTTCCAGAAGAGAGGCTCTTCAACCACACAGCTACTTTTCCTGCTTCTTAAATAATAAATCCTACTTTTCTTGGAAAGAAATTTTGCCAGGGAGGAAATCTAATCAGCTTATTTCCTCCACCTCGTGACTCAGTAACCTGTAGTTACAGAGAAGCCTTCCTGATTGGATACACATTTTAGAAACAGTCACATTTACTGCACACGATTGTTCCCTTTTCTGTTTTGTTTCTGTGTCCTGTAGCGGTGCCATTTCGATCAGGACTCAAACCTGCCCATGTACATTTACAGCCGAGTTTCCCATTTCCTTTCCTGGTCTAGTCCACAGTATTCATAAAATGCTCATGATCCACTTAGAATGAAATACTTGGAGAAATCCATTTATCTGAAGGAGGGCTACACATAAAGTATCACTCTTGACGAGGTATGGAAAAGTGAACTTATAAGTCAGCGTCACCACATAAATTATGGGTATGTATTTGAAAGGGAAAAACATTCCCTTTTTCATTAGGATTGTATTATTTATATAAATTGGAACCTCATTTTCCCCTGAAACTGGAATTTGCCTTAGCTGAAATCTTGCATCTGACCACAAACAGTCACACACACACACACGCACACGCACACGCACGCAGGTTGAGGCATGCCTGATGCACACCCTTTCCCCAATCGCCTTCTCTGCTGCTACCAAGCCCCCACCCCTTGCTTCGTAACCTTCTCTTACCGTATTTTTCCCCTTTGATGCTCTTCCTCTTCCTCTTCTTCCTCCATCTGCCCTGGTGAGGTTTGCACCATCACTGTGTCTGCTTCCTCGCCCTGGCTCAGCTGGAGATGAGCTTCTGTGGTCTGCTGTGGCCAGTCTCACAGGATCCTGCCTGCCTGAGGACACATCATCCATCTTTGAAGCACCCAGGGGCTCATTTCCTTTTAATTTACAAGCTTTTCAGAAAGTTTTGCCTTTCCGAAATTGTCATTGTTAAACACTCTAAGCATTCCAATAGCTCGCAGGTGGTCCTGCTTCTTAAAATGAAACACTGTCTAATAGCTTACCTTCAGTCTCATCTTCAGGTTTTGTTAAGAGAAAATCAGATACCAGACTGGGTGTGGTGGCTCATACCTGTAATCCCAGCACTTGGGGAGGCCGAGCCTGGTGGATCATCTGAGGTCAGGAGTTCGAGACCAACCTGGGCAACATGGTGAAACCCTGTCTCTAGTAAAAATACAAAAATTAGCCAGGCTTGGTGGCGCACTCCTATAATCCCAGCTACACAAGATGCTGAGGCAGGAGAATCACTTGAACCAGGGACACGGTGGTTGTAGTGAGCAGAGACTATGCCATTGCACTCCAGCCTGGGAAACAGAGTGAGACTCTGCCTCAAAAAAAAAAAAAAAATCAAATACCAGTTGAATACTCCCTGTTGGCTCATTTTACAAAAATGTCTAGCCAGTCGAGAAACCATCAGAGAGCTTATGTGACATAGTATTTTGTTGGCTGAAATATGCATCCAGACCAAATAGCTTCTGCCACTTTTCTTCTTCTAAAGACTTAAAATGCTATCCTCTAGGTGTTCCATGGGGGAACTTAGCCAAAAAGTGGTCATTTCCCTCCCACCTCTATCTAGAGAAATGAGATTCATGAGCTTCATTTTCCTGCCTGTTCATGCTGATCAGTTCACATGAAGCTGGCATACGTCATGCTTCTTGGTTTGCCACTTCCTCGGAATCACGGCAGGATTTCCGGGATGGGATGCCAGAAGACAGCTCGGGATTTGGCTCAGGAATTCACCTTAAGGAGTATCTGTCAGGAAGGCTGTGCCCTGAGGATAAGGAAATAGAGAACACTCTCATGGAAAGAAAATCAGCCTTACCCTTACCCAGGACTGCCAGCCACCACAGCTGAGAAGCAGCATTCTCCCCGTTCTCACATCACCAGGAACTTTGCCATATCTGAGCTGCTCTGCCCACCAGACCCCCGGGAGTGAGGCAAGGATAATGGTGTTTGTCCGTCTCATCTGCTTTATGTCGTATCGTTCTCCCTTGGGTCTTGTTGACACCTGTATCTGAAGAAAAGCCAGTGTGGAAACAGGTTCTGAGCTCATTCTTCCCTCCCACTTGATTCTCTAACAAAGCATTGAAAGAAATAAAAGTTATAAAGCCTTTCAAAAGGGGGCAGCATTGCCTAAGGAGAGGAGGCTGCCTGCAGCACCAGAAATGTATTTCTAGTTTCATCTTTCTAGTGTATTCCATCACTAGGGAACTGAGCCATCCTGAGGAGCTCCGTCAGTCTCCCTGGGCCTCAGTTTTTCTCACCATCAAAATAGCAAACATCATGCCATCCTAAGAGGATCTAATCCCATTTAGAAGAGCCTCGGCTGAGAGGATGGTTGATTGTCAGCTCAGAGTATACTTACTGTAACCAAAGCATATCCCTTAACCTTTAAACAGAAATCTGAATTCCTCAATAGCCATGTCAAAAGATCTACTCAGACTTTTGGCATACTTGGTTAAATGAGTCAAGACACAATTGTATTTTTAGGATGGATACCTTTGAGAAATGGAAACAAAACAACTATTCATCCCTTTCACTCTCTTTTTAAAATCAATTTAAACAAAGATTTCAGGTACAGCATCTCCTGTTTGTCCCTGGAAGTGTATTGTGCAGTACAGTATGGGGCTGAAATCCACCAAGCCTTTTCGTGTTGTATGGACAGATTGATCCTTCTTAGACTGTGTGATGTTGGTGTGCTTGTGAGGCAGCTCAGCGAGGATCACTTTGAGAATTCTGGCAAAGGGAAATGAACCATGGCAGTTTGTGCTGACTCGAAATAGGAATGTTTACCTTGAACATTCTCAACTTCCTGTTTGGTACTGACCTCTGATCAATTGCAAGTCAATGAGTGAGGGCGACAGCGTGTTCCCTGTAGTACCTGTGAGTCCTAAAAGTATTCTAGGGACACCCTGTACCCTCAGGGCCCTATCAGGTTCTGTGGGGCACTTGTGCTGTCAGGGCCATGCCCCTGCCACCCGGAGCTCGCTCTGCATAGCTCCTTGTCCCTGCCAGTGATATAGTATTTTGTGGTCACAATAAAAGTCAAATAAAAGGAAAATAAGCCTTGCTGAGATGAGTACATTTCAAACAGAGGCAATCAAATATATATGTATACATACATATACGTATACGTATATATACACACACACGCATGCATACATAAATATGTGTATATCTATATATGTGTGTGTGTGTATAAATTTAAAATTAGGACCCATGTCAGAAGCACTTGTCGCAGATGATACTGGTTTTATTTTGAGCTGACACTCAGATCTAGAAATGGTTCATTTCCTCTGCTTCCTGTCCTCTCTCCTTGGATGTGTGTATGCTAGGGTCAAAGCACTGTTGTTTTATAATGAATGTAATAATTTGATTGGCTGTCAATGGTATGGTGACATGGACACGGAGAGTTTTGCATTGTCTCTGGTGGGCAGCATCAAATTAGACTGTCCCTCCAGCTGACAGCAGCTGCTGGGGAGGAAGTTTAAATCCCACCAACCAAAGTCCCATGACGCCTGAGACAGAAGGTTCTGTCTGCTTAGTTCCCTTTTTTCTGTGATTCATTGCTTTTTCTTAATGATTTATCTGGTTGCACTTGCAACTCCTGAGAACATTTGATAAGATCATGACAGCCAAAATTTGTGGATTTTGGTGCCAACCTTTAGTGAGAGCGATGACTCACTTCCCTACAAGAAAAGAACTTGATTTTAAAAACATGTATATATTGACAAGCTTGGACAGGAAACCAGACCTCTCTCGCAGGCAAGCAGTAGCCTGTCCCTCGTGAACTTTGCCACTTTGTAGCAGAAGACAACCAAGGAAACTGGGATAACAGGAGCCGATTTGACTCCACACTACATGCACTAAGCTCTTGGTTTCTCCGTTGACTTCATATTGATATGAGCCAGGAATTGAAAGGACTCAATACTTCACAATGTTTTCCTCCCACATTATTCTGTGGATTGTTTTCTAAATTCTGTGCACAAATTCCAAAAGTAGGGAAAGAAGGAAGGTCGAAATGAAACCACAAGTATTCTCTTGACACCAAAACATTTTTGGTTTCCCATGGGGAAGGTTGAAAAACACTGTTGAGTAGCAGAGCTGAGGAGAGGGTCTGGTGGCTCAGGACCATGGGACCCTGCGATTGGCCTCCTTGGGAGTGTCGGGGGAGGTGGGAAGAGATGCTTGTAGATTGTGTAGAACAAATTAGGGGAGAAAAATCACCTGTTGTATTTAAATTCAGTTAAGTTACGGAGTCACAGATGGCACCATGAGGAACCCATCGTCTGATGATAATCAATATCAGAACTTATAGGAGGACTCAGGATGAGTGTGCTTTTGCCTTCTGGCTTTCTACCATTCAGGTCATCTCACTGTGGCCCTCATGAGGCCACTGTCACCCAAAATACATATCAGAGAAGAAGGAAACTACATATATTGGACACTTCTAATGTGTTTTATCTAAATTACCTTATTTAATGCTTGTAACAACTTTTTTTTTTTTTTGAGACGGAGTTTCACTGTTGTTACCCAGACTGGAGCACAATGGCGTGATCTCGGCTCACTGCAACCTCGGCCTCCTGGGTTCAGGCAATTCTCCTGCCTCAGCCTCCTGAGTAGCTGGGATTACAGGCACGCACCACCATGCCCAGCTAATTTTTTGTATTTTTAGTAGAGACAGCGTTTCATCTTGTTGACCAGGATGGTCTCGATCTCTTGACCTCATGATCCACCTGCCTCGGCCTCCCAAAGTGCAGGGATTATAGGTGTGAGCCACCGCGCCCGGCCACTTGTAACAACTTTAAAGGAAATGAAATGTCCCCCATTTTATAGACAGGAGCGTACCTACTATATGGGGTCTATTACCTACCTAAAACGCAGGTAATCCAACATGTCCATGATGCTTATGAGAGCCAAAAAACATTATGAATTTAAACCTGGAATAGATACTAAATTGGAGGGGGCTACGAAGTTCTTTTAAGGGAATATTCTGCACAGACCTTACTGATGTGCTCAGGGCATTTACAGGACAGAGGTGGATTCACAGCAGTGTTCAGTAATCAGTCAGGCAGGAATAGTTGTGGTGAGGACTGAGGGCAAGAGCAGCTGGGAGTTCCATGTCTAGACAGGGTGGAGTGAAGACAAGCAATTAGATATGTGGTTGTGAAATGCACTGCCATGGACCTCATGTTTCTGGGATGCCAGATGGGGCTTGTATGCTTTAGAGACAGCAAGTGGCACTGGTAGAGTCGTGTGGTTCTTCGTCGACTGCCTCAGCTTTAAGCAACCTCCATAATGTGTGTTCACATGTGTGAGTGCAGGTGTGTGGGTGCGCATGTGTGTATGCACATATGCCTGAGCACGTGCATCTGCAATCACTGTCAGCAGACATTATGGATGAGGAAACAGAGCAGTGTAGAAGGTCCATGCTCTGGCCATATGCTAACTGACTACTGATGAAGAAAGATGGGGTTTGCATTCCCCCTGAATCTGAGGGTATTTGAGCAAACCAGCCATCTAGCAAAATACCTTTCCAGCTCCAGAACTGCAAATAGCAAAACCCCTTCTCTGGTTTGCTTCCTGTGCTTCATTTAGTCTTCTAGATCCTGCAGGGTTAAGTAAATCTGAGTTGCGTCTGCCTGAATCCTCACTGTTGCCATGGAGGGGGATGTAAGGCAGAGTTTATTTTGCATGGCTTATTTGCTTAGTAATGACTATGATGGCTGCAGAGCTCAAGGACTCAAGGGAGCAATTTACATTTTTCTATGGGAACCTAAGTAAGCATTGATGAGTTTTCTGGGCGTGATTTCTTTCCTGTTACACCACCCTCACCTGTTTCCTATGGAAACTCTGTACTTGATGCCCAGAGCATTGGGCATCTTTGATGTTCAGTGTCTGCAGGGAAGCACGAATGGCATGAAAAGCAACCTTCATGGAGTGTTTTGTCCTTTGGCTTTAATATTTAAGCACAAGAAAAATCTGTGACTCAAATTTTTTTCAGGAAAACAAACGATAGTATAACTGGCATAGCAACAGCGTTTGTGTCTGAGCACAAATACTGAGCTGTTGTTTAATATGTTGGATTTCCTTTATGTCTTCATTTTAAATATGGAGAACTAGTTGTTCAAATGCAATCTTACCCACAAGCTTATTATGTAAAACATGAAAGCAGAGTGGCCCAGAGGCTCATCGATTTGATTACTCTCAGGAAGGTTGACTGAAGGACCCTCCACCTACCAGGAACTGTTTGGAGCTGGGAGTACATACAGTTTTCAGTAAAAATGAGTGATAATTGCTATCTTCATGGAGTTCACATCTTAATGGGGGAGAAAGATATAAGCAAGCAAGTATAATAATCTTAATAGCTAACACAAATTGTGTACTTACTTTGTGCCAAGTACTCCCTTTTTTAAAGAAGTGGGATCTCACTCCATCTTCCAATGACACCATCATGGCTCACTATGGCCTCAAACTTGGGCTTAAGAGATCCTCCCACCTTAGCCTACCAAGTAGCTGAGACAACAGGTGTGTGTTACCACACACCCAGCCAATGTGCCAAGAACTCTTTAAAGCTCTCTTACATGCAATCACTCATTTGATTCACATGATAGCTTTATAATACAGGAACTATTATTTACCCCAGTTTTACAGGAGATAAACTGGGGTAGGGAAACCTTGAAACTTTGCCCATGGTTTGTATCTCACTCTTGACACCAAAAAGAATCTTGTCAAAGGTCAAAAGAAGGAATCAAACCCAGGCAGTGTCTCTAAGGTCTGTGGACTTAACCCCTCTACTGCATTGTCTCTCAGTGTTGACTGTGTCCCTGGTAACAGGTGCTGTGGCAGAGCTGTCAGGGCACCAGGACACAGCATAGTACCATCTTGTTTTCAGTTTGACGTTAGAGTGCTGGTTCCCCAAATGCTCTTTCTGCACTAGCACTTAGATGGTTCTGTTAAGCAGACCTTAGAAAAAAGATTCAAGAAGTTTGTGTGTCCTTTAACCTCCTCCCCCAGGTACAGAAATTGCCCCTTGGGAGCAATTACTTAGAGTGTTGGTTTGCATTTCTTTCAGTGTATTAGGTATCTGTCACGAAGTACTGCACTGATGCTCCTAGACAGTCTTCACAGTGTATTGCTTATACTAGTGTCAGTTTTTCATAACTTCTGAAAATCAGAAGAAACGAAGCCCCCTCCTGACAATAGGTGGAGTACTCCCCAAGATAACAAAGACCGTTGGTATCTTCCCCATGAAGATGTACTTCTCCATCCATTCCTTCCTCTTTTCAGGGTCTGTGAGGTCATTCTAACAACAGGTTAAAGTTTTGAGGCAGCTGATTCACACCTGCAGGTTGGTCAAGAAGATCAAATGATTCTAGCTGCTAAGTGTTCTTCTTAGTGGAGTCTGCCATTGCCTTCATGATTAAGAAAGTGAGCCTCACAGCATGAGTCTGTACTGCAGCGTCTTCTCCAGCTTTCCCTGGAAAGCTACAGGCAGGGCTCACTCAGGCCATTCAAGCTGACCGCAGAAACAGATGCCATTCAAGCTCAGGTGGACGGATTGGCACTTTATCTTCATGTGTGAACATTCATATGGGGAGAAGTCATCTCACGCTGATTTGGTTTTCTGTTTGTCTGTTCCCCAACAGGGCTGTTTAACGACACCCAACTCCCCATCCATGTACTCACGTTCCATTACGTTGGGTCCATCCCTCTCTCTGGGCAGCATCTCAGGGGTGTCCATGAAGTCGGAGATGAAGAAGCGCCGAGCCCCTCCGCCTCCAGGTTCAGGGCCACCTGTGCAAGACAAGGCGTCAGAAAAGGTAGGGCAATGGGCTGTTCTCACAACCAAAGCGTCTTTTAAATGACACAGTGATTCTTCCAAAGCTCCCTGGAAACACAGTAGTCCTTCCTATTTGTGGCTGTAGCAACTAGCGTGTTGAGGGCAAATATTTAAGCTTTATCTTGAAGGCAAAATGCCAGAAGGGGCTCATGTTTTAAACTCTGAGAAGCCAAGTTCCCCAAGGCAGTCAGGATGTGCCCGGCAGCTCAGTCCTGTTCCCTGCCACCCTAAGAGGTCAGATCCACCCTGTGGGTGTAAAGATAAGGATGTGGTCTTCCTCCCTGGGCTGAGATGTTTCTGACTGACTGCAGCACAGCTTCCTGTGGCGACTGCATGCCACAAATGGCAGCGTTCACAGAAAGCACATTCAGAGTCCGCTCATTCTGCGGCAGGGCTTTACTTCCTAACTCTCGCCGCTTGTGTCGTGTGGCCTAGCCCAGCTGCATAGTTTGAGAGTGTCACACCCTTGCTAGTCTTCAGATTCAAAGCTCCATTTTGCTCATTTGCTCTCAAAATATCCTAGAAACTAAGTCTGTGCCTCCTGAATGTGAGGCGTGGCCCGTGGATCTTGATTAAAAGTTATAGCAGCAGATACCACTGGCAGGGTCCTGATATGCCTTGTAATATCCTTATCAGCCTGCCTGTCTATCCGTCCAGGCATGTTCATCTGTCCGTCTGGTTTTGCAAATCGGTTCTCTGGTCATCCATCTCTGCTCCTTCATGGCTGTTCTTTATCTCTGGGTCTCAGAGACCATCCTGCTCCCATCCTTTGTTCTTCCTATCCCTAAAAATCTATCTAAAAAGCCTGTAGTGCAACACATTTTCAAATAAAATATTTTGCTTTTTGTGTCTCTTAAGTATTTTCTAGGCTGGGCCCAGTGGCTCACACCTATAATCCCAGCATTTTGGGAGACTAAGGCAGGAGGATCACCTGAGGTCAGGAGTTCGAGACCAGCCATGGCCAACATGGTGAAATCCTATCTCTACTAAAAATACCCCATTTCTTTTGTAAAAATATAAAATTAGCCGGGCAAGGTGGTGCATGCCTGTAGTCCCAGCTACTCGGGAGGCTGAGGCAGGAGAATCACTTGAACCCAGGAGGCAGAGGTTGCAGTGAGCTGAGATCACACCACTCCAGCCTGGGCGACAAGTGCAAAACTCTGTCTCAAAAATATATACATATTTTTTTCTAATGTGACTGACTTATTTTGAGTTCTTCCTGATATGGTAGCTGCATTTTCATAAAGAGAAATTTAGGCAAAAATGGTACCTTTTTGTTGTAAGCATCCAGAAGATGATGCAAATGGAAAACTTCTGATTGTCTGCAGTGTGTCTCGTTAATTTGCTTGGGTGTAGATTCTGAACTTTAGTATAACATGTGGATCATATTGATAGCACTGGCCTTTTCCCTGCTGATGCCCCTGGGAATGTCTTTTCGCTTTGGCTTAGGATAAGTGTTTCTTTAGCATTAATAAAATATATGAAGTCCAGGATCAATATTATGTCAGCTTCTTTCTTTTCATCGGAATTGCATTTTCTTAATGTGATAGAATGTAGATGCTGAACTGTACCAGCATTTTAAAATTCTCTTCTACCCAGAGACGACGTTGTATGTTTCTGCCTTTAGTGTGCTTACCCACCGTGGATAAAGCCTGCTCGAGTGGGAAAATGTACAGTAAGTAGAGAATTGGGAATTCTGAATGAAAAATAAGTAGTACTTTATACCCTGAAGAATGAACAGAGTTTCCTCTGAGGCGGTAAACGCTTTTTGCTGAAATCTGTTTTATTTGGCGCAGAATGAGTGGAGAAATTGGCTCATGGAAACCATCTTCCTTTTTAAGCATATGAGTGGCATATGGATTCGATTTAGGCATTTGCTATGAACATGCTTTTTTAAAACGAAAGGTATTTTGTTATTTACTGATTCCTGGGAAAAGAACCCAAAAATGTATTGTCGTAGTTGTTGGGGAAGAACGTCAGTTCCTTCATCGTGAACTTCCTTCCATATAAAGATAAGATGTTTGTTTGGGAAACCTTATTTACATGCAACTGTTACTAACGCCAGTGTCCTGAACGAGGAGCAAAGGCTCATTTTCAGGGACATGACTACTTTGTAAGAAAATGAGAATGACTACATTTTTCTATTTTAAAAGATTTATTTTTTATCAGCTAGTTTTAAAAATTCAGTATTTGCTTCTTTAAGTTCTAATGGTGGGATAATTTTACCCATCCTCAGTTCATCTGAAAATTTTCTAAAAATTGTAATCATTATGTTAATATTTCTCACCTGATTATGCATTCATGATTTGATCATGTGTGTTTATTATTTCTAAAGGTATTTTTTGAAGAGGTTTTCCCAGAGGTGTTAGAGCCTGGAGGTGGCTGAATGCTCTCCTCAGACCCCATGGCTCTTCCCATAGTGCTGTGAATGCAGCTTTTATGATGTGGAACCCTCAGACCAGAACGATTAATTGTACCCGTTAAGGCACCTTATGCTCTCAGGATTTCTCAGACTTGAGCGGGCATTGGATCACCCAAAGGGCTTGTTAAAACACACTTTCCTGGGCCCCACCTGAGTGTTGATTCAGTAGGTCTGGATGGGGCTTGAGCATATGCCTCTCAAGTGCTGCTGCTCCGGCACACCTCACTTTGAGAACCATCCTCCATAGAACATCTCCTTCCTCAGCTACTGACTCCGAATTTTGACTACTCAAAGGTAACAGATCTGCTATGAGATCCTTCAGCAGGAAAGTTACCTGAAAATGAATCCATCTATGCTGTGGAATAATCATTTTATGTAGTAAAGTTAAAACACATCAGTAGCCCTCACTCCTTCTCACTGGGACCCAGGGAACCCTCATCTGGGAGGACAGAGGAATTGTCTGTTCTGCACAGGATTTTCTTCCTGCTTCATCTCCTGGTGCCTACGCTGTCCTCTCACCATCATGCCCTGTAAAGGGTGAACACTCCCTCTGTGCCAGGCCCTAGGCAGTTGCTAGAATTCTTACTCGCTGCTTTTGTATTTGGGTCCGAGCCCCCTTCCTATATGGAGTGATATGGTTTGGATGTTTGTCCCCTCCAAATCTCATGTTGAAATGTGATCTCAGTTGGAGGTGGGGCCTGGTGGGAGGTGTTTGGGTCATAAGCACAGATCCCTCTTGAATGACTTGGTGCCATCCCCATGATGATGAGTGTTATCTTTCTGGTAGTTTACCTGAGATCTAGTTGTTTAAAAGTGTGTGGCAGCCCCACCGACCTTGCTCCCTCTCTCACCACGTGACATGACATGCCTGATCTGCCTTTGCCTTCCTCCGGTGAGGCCTCACCGGAAACTGAGCAGATGCTGGTGCCATGCTTCCTGTACGGTCTGTGGAATCATGAGCCAATTAAACCTTTTTTATTTATAAATTACCCAGTCTCAGGTATTTCTCTAGAGCAACGCAGACTGACTGGCACACCGAGTCTTTAGCAACGCATCCCAAAGGAGACTTTGTTTTCCTCTTATTTGCTCATGGTTTCCCCACTTGGGCCAGGATTAAGATTGTGAGTAGAAGCTGTCGACACAGATGCCTGTGTGGGCATTCCTCTGCTCATCTCTGGTCCTCAGTTTCCTCTGTAAAATGGCATCAATAAGAACAGCACTGGCCAGTGCATGCTGTGATGGTCAGACCTGGATCTGATGGCACTTGCCTGGGTTCAGATTCCAGCTTGGCCAGCACTAGAAATGGGAGCTTGCATGAGATCACCCTTCTCTGTACCTTGTGTGCTTATTTGTGTGCTCTGCATAAAGGTGAGAGATGAGAGCTGGCCACAGTGCAGTGGGGGACAGAAGTAGCCAGCATTCCTGAAGCAGGGAGGGCTGGGCAGTGGGGGTGAAGGGTCCATTGCCCCAGCCAGGTTCTACATTAACCCAGTGGCTGATGACATTTAAAAATTGAATTATCTATTGCTGCAAATACCAAATGTACAATTAAAAAATTGCTAAGCCCCTGCAGCAGGCTCATTCTATTAAACAATACCAGCATCCTCTCTTCTCTTGGTGGTGTTTTCCCTTCTCAGCCACAAACCACAAACACCCTACTCACTATTCCGTACCTTCTGAGGATTCTAGAGACGAGAATTGCTCATCCCTTTAAGTCCAGATAGCTTCTGTTTATGAAGAAGAATAATCCCTGGGCAAGGTGGCTCACACCTTTAATTCCAGCACTTTGGGAGGTCAAGGCAGGCAGATCGCAAGGTCAGGAGTTGGAGACCAGCCTGGCCAACATGGTGAAACCCTGTCTCTACTAAAAATACAAAAATGAGCTGGGTGTAGGGGTGGGCATTATAATCCCAGCTACTCAGGAGGCTGAGGCAGGAGAATCACTTGAAACTGGAAGGCGGAGGTTGCAGTGAGCCAAAATTGTGCCCCTGTACTCCAGCCTTGGGCAACAGAGCAAAACTCCATCTCAAAAAAAAAAAAAAAAAAGAAGAATCAACTACTGTCAAGACACCCTTCTGTAGGGGACTCACTTTACCTATTAAAGAGTGACACAATACTCTAAATTATTCTTGCTGGCATCTTTCTTTGTACAATACTTGGCAGGTTTTTTAAACTTTTTTGGCATTTCATTTAAGTGATTAAAAATAAGTAACATGGAAGTTTACTAATCTGTGTTAACTAATTTAGGTTTTCATTATCCACAAATATATATTTCATAGTTATTCAGCCAATATTCAGTTATTATACATCTGCTTTTGTGCAGATACCAACTATAAATCCACTTTTATTATAATTGACAAGGAATTCAAAAAAATTTTAGAGTTATTCAAGCTTTCTTTTTTCTATATTATTTGAATTATTGCATTTATTACGTTCAATGCTATAAGGTTCCAAGCTGACAAGTCCGTTTCTCCATGATCTCAAGTTTAGTACATTGGGACTGAAATTGCTAGTGATGTTGGCCGTTAAAATAAGTGACGATGGAGGCAGCATTATGA